TGTAATCAGACATCTGATCCTCAGCCGGCGGCTAATTTTAGTCCGCACGTTTTTACAACAGATTCTCTTTCAGCCTGAGACTCTGGTCCACGGCCTGATCCCAGCGAGACCTCTGAAATCTGCAGACTCCTGCAGAAACCTCCTCCTCCTCCTCCTCTCGCTGCATTCTTGTGGCAGCAGATCTGCGGGACGTTAAAGTTTGGGTCCCTGCGAGAGGTTTTTCTGTGGGCCGGACTGCAGCTCCGCTCCGGGCCTCTCCTCTCCGCCTCGCTCCATAAACAGCAGTAAAAATAACTTTGAACAAATGTGCAGCAGATGAAGATGATGATGATGATGATGATGATAGCCTTCAGACGGCCGCTGGCTGCAATATTTAGCATCCACTGGTGACTGTTTCCTGTCAGAGGTCAGCGTGCCCGAGCCGTCAGCACAGTGATGGGGGGGGGGGGGGGGGGGCAAAAGATTTTCTTCACAGTGCAACGAGAACTAAAGACACATCAGTGAAGTCTGGTTTCCTCTGATGGAGACAAACAGCTGCTGGAGTGGATTCTCCAGTAGCTGCCGTTAAACCACTGAAGAGGAAGGAGAAGAAGAAGAAGGAGAAGAGGTCGTTAACAGATCCAGTCGAAGCTCAGACGATGTGGAGAACATGATGAAGATCTGACATTTCTCTTTGGTTCATGTGTTGATGTGAGGAAGGTTCAGCCTCCTCATCATCACTGGTGTTTCCCTCTCTTTAGTCACGAGTTCAGAGAATCTCAGCAACTCTGTCTCCTAGGAAACACAACTGTGACCAGGTCATGTTTCCTAGTAATGTAACGAGGAAAATGATCTACATATCTGACAAGTCACAGATTCGTCAAATGTTTGTCGACATGTTTGTTTTCCTGTAATTTTAAGAATAAAATCATTATATTTCCAGAAAAAGAAAGAATAAAGGGCTGTTTTATTGGTTGGCTGGAATATTCCTAAAAATTATGTTTTTTTAATCTCTAGAAATTTTAAAATTTTGATTCTCTGAATATTATGACTATTCTCAAAATTTCAGATTTCTTTTTTTCCTCAGTGTCCGTCGTACTCCTAAACTGTGCCCAGCTCCTAAAGCTCCTCCAGTGTAAAGGTCTGTGTCCATGTGTAGTGTGATTATAGATCAGCTCTAGCTTCTATATTAATACTGTGAAAGTATCAAAGCCTCAGTCCACAGAGAAATGCACACAGCCTGTATTCAGAAACTGAGCCTTAAAACCAGCCGTCAGGACTTCTGGAACTTTGTGATGTCACAACAAAGCAGTCACCAAGCCCCGCCCACCTGGACCCACCATCCAAACCTTGCAGGATTTGGTTTCTCTGAGTGTTTTTACCTGAAATCTGCTTTATTTTTATTGGATCAGTCAGAAAACAGTCAGCCAATCAGAAGAGAGGCTCAGAGTCTCCTCTCTTCTGATTGGCTCACAGACCTGTTGTTACTAGAGCTCCAGAGAGAAGCCTGAGAGAGGAGATGTGAAACTACACTGAGATGGTTTTTATATCCTCTGATGGATCAACACTTCAAATAAAACACAGAAGAAGAAGAAAATATGGAGCTTTAATGAATTAGTGAGGACCGTGGTGAAGACATGTTTCAGCTCGGCCCGACGTTCTGATCCAGTGTGTTTATAAAAAGAAGAGTGTTAATGAGAAGAGTGTTCCTGGCTCTGGTTGTTCACTGAGTGTCTGTGTTTTCATTTTTGTCTCGCTTCTTGTGCTGATTTATTCCCATTAATTATAAAATCCAGGTCATTATCAAAGCAGCGCTCCGACCCCCGGAGGGGAAGCCCGCTGCGTTTCCCCGAGATCTCCAACACTTCAAACGCTCTGTTGTTGGCGGGTTGAGGGGTGCTGTGGAGGGGGCGGGGCCAGAGATCCACTGTCTGGGATCACTTCCCACCTTCCCCTGTAAAGCCCCTACTGACTGACCTTTGACCTCCTGTGACCTCTGATAGTAAACACCGACTGCAGCAGCGTCATAACTCACTCTCACCTCAACACAGATATGAAATATCTTAATGTTTAGATTCAGTGTGACATATACTTCCTGATGACATCATCACCTCTGATGTGAAGACACGCTCCCGTACAACTGCAGAACTTCACAGTGAAACAGTGACGGGCGTCCGTTGGTCCACTGTCACACTGCAAACAGGAAACGCTAATTGATCATTCAGCCACCTGCAGGTGGAGATCAAACCCTGATCCCGTCAGACGAAAGTATTGAAACCTTAACGAATCCCTGAGCAAAGGCCACAAATGAAATGAGGATCCTGTGTGGTCTCCATTTTTGTGAAAATACACAAAACACAAAAAGAGGATGGAAACAAGAACTGCAACAATTAGGTGATTGATAGAGAATTAATCAATAACTACTTTGATAATTGATGAATCGTCTGTTTCCGATGAGTCTCTGTTTCCAGCTTCTGAGGATTTGATGCTTCTCTTTGTCTCATGTTGCAGCTTAGTGATTTTACTTTTTCTTATTTATACTTCATGTAATCAGGAAGTCACATTGACAAGTGAGACCTGAAGACAAAATAAGATAAAATGAAATAAATAAGGAGAAATTTTAATATCAGAGATGTAAAATGTCACTGAATTAAATGTACATTCATATAAACATATAAACAATGATCAGTGAGTATTTAAATGACAAAACCAGACAGATGATAAGATGACAAATTATACCCTCAAGTGTTTTCTGTAGTTGTAGTTAGAAAAGACATTTGTGAATATTTATTATATTGATTTTTTTGACTCTATAATCTCAGTTTTTACTCATGAATTTATCACTTTAATATCAGAGAATATCTGACTTTTTTTCTTGTACATTTACGTCTTTAACGTCTGAATTTCACACGTCTGTGAGTGAGTGACGCTCTCAAACACTCAGGAAAGGATCAAGCAGTTTTAGTTTAGACGTTTCACTTAAAGAGAGAAACAATGAAAATAAAACTCTGTCTCTCCATTACAATGTTAAAAATGATCAGCCATGTTTTCCTGTTTGCTGTTGTTGGGTGCTACTGGTCAGCTCATTGGTTGTTGCCATGGTAACGTGGGTCTCAGTCTTAAAGTGAGTCAGTCTGTATTTTAGGTCAACGCTCTGACTGACCACAGACCAGTCTGACAGATCTCTGTGAGACCGCGTCCAGGTCTCAGCTGAGGTCCGGCTCCTGACAGTGACTGGGTCCGTCGTCGTAGTAACACTGGTCTGTAGCTGCGTCTGTGCACAGGACTGTGACTGTGTGACGGTTCAGAGGCCGCAGCCTTCCCTCCCCGGGTCTGAATGCAGCTCTCTGACTTCCAGTGCAGAGTCAGTGACCGTGACGTTATAATGACACGCTGATTAGACGCCGGCCGGGCCGCCGCTGTCCCGAACAGAGCGCCGACTGTCAGACTGCTCCACCAGTTTAAAGGCCTGAATGCCACCACATTCCAGCGGCCGGGCGTCCAGCTGTAGAGGACGAGCTGCTGGACGTCTCGTCAGAAACTCCAGGCTGGGGAGTTTGAGGCAGAGCCCCGGCAGCCTCGCCTGAAAGGCCTGGGGGGGGGGGTCTTTGTCTGGCAGTGGATCAAAGAGCTGCTGAGGTTTTAGTCCAGGGGACCGTCCTCTCCTGACCCGGGTCAGAGGCTAATGAAGCGTCCTCAGGAGGTCCGGCAGAGAGGACGATTTATGATCAGGTGTCTCCGACTGCTGCTGCTGAACAAACTCTCTGCAGGAAACGTCCACACGTCCCCCCCCCGAGACTCACTGGATTTCCTCCAGTGACACCAGAGGAGAGGGAGATGGGCCTGGGGGAGGGGGGGGTCTCTCCAGTCCAGTCTGTCACCGTCTCCTGCCGAGGCTGAGACCAGACTCTGTGTCTGTCCGTCCGTCGTCCTGCTGCTGAAACACTCATGCTCCTCTCCCACAGAGACACATATTAACTGATCTTTGACTTTTATCGTTATAATGTAAAAACAAACATGAAGAAACGTCAGATGAATTATTATGAAACCACATGTAGAGACTCAGCAGCAGCTTCTTCACTCTGTTTTAGTCTCAGGAGGTTTTTCCACAGAAGCAGTTATTGTTCATTTCACTGTGACGTCCATTCTCAGTGTTTGTGACCTCACAGTTTCATACTGGACCGTGATTGGCTCCGAGCTACTGTGCTGGTGATGTCATGGGTCCTACAGGTGCGTCCGGTCAGACTTCCTCCCACACAGTGTCAACAGCCTCCGGGTCAGGTCCCAGGTCTTACCTGTTCAGGTCACACCAGCGTTTAAAATGGTGAACGTCCGAACCAGAGTCACTTCACTTCAGTGTAAAAATCTCTGATTCATATTTAGTTTCACGTTTTCATCTCCTCTTACTTCCTGGTTCAGGCCTGTAGCCCCGCCCACCACCTGCTGGCTCCAGGTGGACAGGTGAAAGAGCAGAGAGCATCAAGATGGTGAGAGGAGGAAACATCAGAGAGACTCAGCCACATGTTTTAGCCTCAGTCAGACCCAGACTCAGAGGAGGAGTCTGAGACCAGATCCAGAATCTAGCAGACGGGTCAGAACCGTTAGCGCAGTTAGCATCTCTTATTTGTTTATGTTGTTTGTTAGCTTGTAACTAGCAGTAGCTCACACAGTGTTAGTGGTTGTGCTAATGCTAACTCCCCCTCTCTCTGTACTGACAGGGTTTCAGGTGTATTTAGCCCCGCCCCCTTGTCCCCACACTTTGACAGGATTGGTTCCTCAGGTTTGTGATGTATTACACTCCGGCTGTCTGCAGAATGTGAAGCGCAGTGATTGGATATTTGTTGGTGAAATGCACCTTGGGAGTTGTAGGAGACTTTTCTCCCCCAGAGTTTCAGAGATCCAGATGTTTCATGTCCATCAGAGACCTGAAGACACGGTGTCAGAGACGTGACCTGGACTCTGCAGGAGTGATTCAGGTGCAGAGCATTGAACCTTAATGTTGTGTTGTTGTGTGTTTTCAGAGCTGCTGGGCTCCACCAAGAGACTGAACGTCAACTACCAGGACTCAGATGGGTGAGTGAAGTCCACTCTTTAAAACTGCTCCCTCTGCAGCTTTCAAACTGTTTCCACGGCGACCCTGTTACCTGCTCTCTTCAGGTGAGTCAGCAGACTCGTCGTCCGGTGTCTCACGTCATTTAGAGGCGGTTTGTCGGCTCCTGTGTTTGAATCCGGAGCCTCAGACTGTGAAACACTGACTCGTTAAACTTCCCCCTCGTCGCTCATTAGCCTGGAAGCAGCGACACATGAAGAAAGTTTGAGTCTCTCCTCATTAATATTTCTCTTTGTTCAAACTTTTTATTCTCCTCGGTGAGGCTGTTTCCTCTCCGCCGTCTCCCCCCTGACTCACAGGTGTCTCGTCTCCGGCTGTTTGTTTAACCCGTCTCTCTACAGGTGTTTAACCCTTTAACACCTGAGTCTCCCTCTGAGCCTCGGCCTCCTGCAACCTGACGCTCACTCACACCTTCTTCCCTCAGCCTGTGAAGTAGATAGAGACGTGACATAAAAGACTTTTATTGTAAATCATTAGCTTTGCTTTTGAAACTGGATAAGACCTTGAAGGCCCTTGGTTTTTTAACAGTTGTATCGTCAGCTGTTGAACTGAACCTGAGGTTAGAAGTAGGATAGGTTGGAAACGAAGGATCCACCTGTTGCAGCCTTCGTTGCCTGGGAAACGGAGGACGCATTTGAAGGAGCCTTTGAAATGCACATCACTGTGATTTAACGGTCTCCCACTAAAACAACAACTTTGAGTCAACACTGTCGTCCTAACAAAAGAGTCTAAGAGTCTGAGGGTCTGAGGGTCTGAGGGTCTGGGGGTCTGAGGGTCTGAGGGTCTGAGGGTCTGGGGGTCTGGGGGTCTGGGGGTCTGAGTCGGC